TCCTCTCCTCTCTTTCCTCCTCTCCTCTTTCCTCTCTCTTTCTTCCTATCTCTCTCTCTCTCTTTCCTCTCTCCTCTTTCCTCCTCTCCTCTCCCCTCTCTTCTTCCTCTCCCCTCCCCTATCCACCAGTGTAGCCCTCGACATAGAACCACAGCTGAGCCCAAGGGTTGCGTTGCTGAGCAAAGTTAGACTTACACGTTTGTTGGGGTCCACGCAATTTCAGGTTGCCAAATTTGAAGAATGCTCCTCTTCCCCGTCCCCAGGACAAAATCAACCCTGTTGGACTTAATAATATATCTTTGTCTCTTTTTTCTTCCTTCAGCAAGCTTTCTGGTGTCTTGTGCAAATATGTGAGAAATACCTTCCTGGCTACTACAGCGAGAAGCTGGTGAGTGTTTCCTTTAGACCAGGGGTCTCCAATCTTGGCAGCTTTTAGACTTGTGGACTTCAACTCCCAGGATTCCCCACCAGCCTTGTAAGTTGCCAAGCTGGGAGACCCCTGCCTTAGATCCTGATGGAGATCGGCTGCTTTCAGGAGAGCAAGGGAACAGTGCAGCCCCCAGGCAGGTGGAATGGATTGTGTCAGACCTGCCCCAAACTTGGTCCCTTAGCAAAGAAAGACCCTCGACTCCCATTTGTAGTGAAAGCTCTACTTTTACTAAAAGCCAAGTGGATCACGGTATAGCCAAGCCAGAACTGGAGTTGGCACGCCAAAATTTGCTCAGTTAAACTTTCCCCATCCAGTTCCTCTCCTCCCCTGGCCCCGTATTGCCCAATAATCTTTGAGTAACCAATAAAGGAGAATATTCGTAGCTCCGGGTTGAAACGATAGAGGGCTTGGTGCTCTCTGAGCTTGGATGCTTTCTTGCAGACATTTCATAACCCAACTAGGTAACATTGTCAGTGCTAGAAGGGAATAGGGGTTGCAGAAAGGAAGAGAAGGAAAGGGAAAGAGGAGGAGGAGGAGCAGAAAGAGGAAAAAGGGGACTGTTGGTCCTTGGTGCTCTCTGAGCTTGGATGCTTTCTTGCAGACTTTTCATAACCCAACTAGCTAACATTGTCAGTGCTAGAAGGGAATAGGGGTTGCAGAAAGGAGAAGAAGAAAAGGGAAAGAGGAAGTGTAGTAGGAGGAGGAGGAGGAGAAGGAGAAAGAAACGAAGAAGGATTGTTGGATTCTTGGTGCTGTCTGAGCTTGCTTGTTTTCTTGCAAACGTTTCATGACCCAGCTAGGTAACATCATCAGTGCTAGTACTATATTTGAGCAAACTTTTTTTTGCAACGGCCTTGCTTTCTTCTCCCAGGTTTACAACCTTGAGGCTTTGCCTCTGAGAGGCACGCTTCTTCCCATCAACATTAGTTTCACTTTCCCCTCCCATCCAGCTCCCTCTCCCCCCCATTTCCATATTTCATGGCAGATTGACAGCTAGCGAAGGCGGACCAGTGGCCAAGGCAGAGCTAGCTCTCCAGCTCAGCCTGATCCAAGATCTTCCACCCCTCTCATTCTCCCTTTCCTCCCCTCCCTCCTTCTCCTTCCCTGCAGGAGGCCATCCAGTTGGACGGCGAGATTCTCTTCTCTCTGCTGCAGAGAGTCTCCCCGCTGGCATTCAAGCATCTCAGCAAGCAGAAGATCGACCCCATCTTGTACATGACGGAGTGGTTTATGTGCGCCTTCTCCAGGACCCTGCCCTGGAGTTCTGTGCTGAGGGTCTGGGATATGTTCTTTTGTGAAGGTATTGCGGGGGCTGCTTCTGGTCTTTGTGGAGGGATCGGCGGGGTGGGGGGTGGGAATGCATGCCGTCTGTCAGCTCATAAAATATTTCTACGGTCTTTATAGAGTTGGCAGCAGAAAGGGGTTTGGAAAGAGCAGTGCGGCAGCTTGGAAACCAAAAGTGCATTCCATAAATGTTTTCAAAGATAGTAACTGAAGTTTCTGCCACTGGAGAACGTGATTGATGATTCTTGGCTAGGGAGGTGTCCCATTGGAGGATATGAATTACGATACACCCAGGGGATGGGGGAAAACCAGGATCAAGGGTGACAGTGAATGAGAGTCGGCTACACCCAGGCAGTGCTGGCATGTTTGCTCCCAATAAATCATCTTTAAGTTTTGGAAGTTTGGCTCGAGACTTACGGTTTCTTCCAGTCAATCCTCCCCTCCCTGAGCTCTTTGGCTCTCCTAGGTGCCTGGATCGATTCCAGCGATGCCCCTGCCCTTCTTTGTGGCAGTGCTGGGTTTTTCTGTCTCTGCCCCGTGGCTTTTCTCTCTGGTCATGCAGGCGCCACAATCCCCGGGGAGCAGCAAATGTAGGTCAGTTGTTAAGTCAGCGACACGGTTGTTAACCGAGACTGGCTTCCCCACTGGCGCTGCTTGTCAGAAGGTCGCAAAAGGGGATCGCGTGACCCCTGGGACACTGTGACCGTCATAAATACGAGTCAGTTCTGATCCCATGTCCCTGGGGATGCTACAACAGTCGTTAAGTGTGGGGAAAAAAATGGCCCTACGTCCCTTTTTTCCAGCATTGTTGTAACTTTGGTCACTAAATGAACATGTTGTAGGTAGAGGACTAGCTGCAAAGGGATTGGATTTAAACATTACCTCCCAATTCTTCTCCCAGGCGTCAAGATCATCTTTCGAGTGGGTCTGGTCCTCCTGAAGTACACACTGGGTTCCTCGGAGAAGCTGAGATCCTGCCAAGGGCAATACGAGACGATGGAACAGCTGAGAACCCTGAGCCCCAAAATCATGCAAGAGACTTTCCTTGTGCAAGAGGTAAAAACCAGTTCAGCTGGAGGCCACTCTCCTACTCTCCTGTAGGCAGACGTCAGGCGCAAACAGCCGGGGTAGGGTATGCCCTCTGCTTCCCCCAAAAATACGACCTACCCCGAAAGTAAGTCCTAGCTTGATTTTTACACGGGCGCCCAGTGTAAGCCCTACCCCCCAAAATAAGCCTTAATTAAGATTCCACCCACTCGGGTGCACAAGTAAAAATTAAGCTAGGGTGGGCGTGGGAGGGTGGAGCTGCCCTACTATACTTAACTTTGGACGGTTGTAGCCAGGCCTCGCACCCCCCCGACCCCTGCCTTGCCAGCCCATTTCTTCTGCAAGGGTGGCAAAGCTCTGTTGTCGGCTGCAGAGTTGCCTTCAGGAAAGCCTCGCCAGCCACAGAAGAAGTAGTTCCTGAAGGCCTCTGACAGCGAAAAGGAGGCCGGGGGCCACGCACACAAGCGGGGTTAGTCGGTGGGTGATGTCCCTCGAAAATAAGACCTGGTGCCTTTTTTTTTGGTGACAAAATAAAAGACAGGGTCTTATTTTGGGGGAAACATGGTAGGTAGGTAGATAAGATGATAGATAAGATGAAGTAGGTAGGTAGGTGGATAGATAGATAAAATAGATAGATTGGATAGATAGATGGATAGATTAGCCTATAGACTATATCAATGGACAGGTTCAAACACGTATTACCAATAAAATTCTAAACAATTTAAAATGAGAAGGGGTAAAATACAATAATTTTAAGTTAAAATACAATAATTTAATACATTGGAGGTTGATTTATTCTCCAAACTTCTTCAAACAAGAGAGAAGCAACTTGGAATTAAGGAGGAATTTTCTTGAGAGTGAGAACAATTAACCAGTGGAACAGTTTGCCACCAGAAGTTGTGGATGTTCCCAACGCTGGAGGTTTTTAAGAGGAGACTGGACAGTCACTTTTCTGAAATGGTATAGGATCTCCTGCTTCAGCAGGGGGTTGGACTAGAAGACCTCCAAGGTCCCTTCCAGCCTTAGGATTCTATGATTCTACACCCTTAGAAGAATAGGGCATGGGAGCCATTTTGGGAGACTGAAGGAAGCTGGGGTTGGATGGATCATTTCTATGTTGGCCTCAGTGCTTCTGGTGTCTGTCCAGGTTTGGGGAAACCCTTGGATGCCCCCACCTATGCTTTTGTTCCTCCTAGGTCATAGAGTTGCCGGTGACAGAGCGCCACATTGAGCGGGAACACCTGATCCAGTTGAAGAAGTGGAAGGAGACCCACGGAGAGCTGCAATGCAAGTCCCCTCCCCGCTTCCACGGCGCCAAGGCTATCAGGGACTCTGAGCCGTATGCCCACAGAGCCTTGGAGCCCTCTCCTTCCATCATCCTGCCCCCCGGTGCCGCCCTCCTCCCCAAGGGCCGCAAGAGCAAGTCGCGGAAGGACAGCCCCCAAGGCCCCGCGAGCGTGGGCGACCAAGCCAACGGCCCCATCCCCGAAGAAAACGGATCTTTGCTGGAGCCCGACTCTTCCCTTTTCCATCAGTCCAAGGAGAGCCTTAGTTCCCGGGAGAGCGAGGACACCTACCTGTAGGGGTGGGGAATTGCACTTTCCAGATCAACCCCACCCCACCCCGCCCCACCCCCCACCCCCTTTTCTCCCAGGCCACACAAACCAGAGGCGCCCTTCATAGGAAAAAACGGCAGCTGGGTTTGTAAGGAGGGGAGAAAGCTTTGTCAAAGGGCAAGTGGGTAAGTATTAGGCCTTCCGGTGGCCGAAGGAAGGAATCCCGTTACGTCTTCGGCAGCCCTGGCTGGAAAGGGCTAGCGCCTCTCCTGCCCCCTGCTCTGGGGGTGGGCGTGGTGGGGGTAGGGAGACATTCTTGAGGCTGAGGGGCACTGAGGTGTCCCCCCCTCCCTCTCCTTGTTTTGGGGGGAAAAGTTAGGTTGGCCGGAATCATTCAGGTATAGAAACACAGGAAGGAACCGTAGCTACCTATAGATCACTCAGTTGCAGGTGTGGGTTGGCTCACGTTTTCAGGTGGGAATAAATGGAGGCCGTCCCCTTAACTCAGACCCCGCCCTCCCCTCCCTCGGTGGGCCGAAGGGCAAGATGTTTCTTGAATTCTGTCCCGGGAGGGGCTGTGTCCAAAATTCCCGTGCGTGCAATTGTCTACGCCCTGGAGTCGTATATTCCACCCTTGATCCACCCTTGATCAGAGAAGCGGCCGGGCTTCTCTCTTGGATACTACTACCTCTTCCTCTTCCTCTCTCTCTCTCTCTCTCTCTCTCTCTCTTTCTCTCTCTCTCTCCCCCCGCCCACAACCCGCTCTGTCGCAACCCAGCCTGTGATGGGTGCTCTAGTCCGCCTGGAGCTTCCCAGGGAAAGGCGTCTCCAGACAGGACGATCACCTTAGCGCCCCCCGATGAGGGGGCTCTGTGTTGAGCGGATGGCGTTACGCGGGGACCCTAACTCCCTGCGTTCTGTCTCATTGCGCAGGAAGAATTGTGGCTTGGCTGTTCTGTTTCTTCCTCTCGCCACGGACTGTTTTTCCTCGCGCAGGGACGGCGCTTTCCCAAGACACGAACCGCTGCTTCTCTTCCTCGGCCCGCTAAAAAGTCAGCGCGCTAAAAAGGAAAAACCCTGTCCTGTGTAGCCTCGCTGTCTTTTTGTCTTGACCAAATTCACCCATATGCTGTACGGACCAGATAATGCTGGATTTCCCCATCCTGGGTTCTGGACCAAAAGGGAATGCTGGCTGGGAAAAAAATCCCAACTTTGTAGACGTTTTTTTTTTGCAAGCGGTTTTTGGGACGTCAGTTTCTCCTCTTGCATTCCAGTGCTGTGATTGTTCTCTTTAAAAAAAACAACAGCTCCGTTTTCCAGGACACTAAAAATCCCCTTTATTATTATTATTATTGTCCCACCTGTCTTCAGCCAAAACAGCAACAAACTGAGTTGACTCTCGTTTTGTCGTAGGCGACGTCCCCCCGAGTTAAAACTGAGTTACACGTATTTTCCTAACCTTTGGCTTCCATCTCTCCATCTCTCCATGATGTTAAGGCACTTACCCTAAAATGACAGGTTCCCACGTGCAAAATACTAATGTCTGGGGGTTTATATTTTTAGCCTGTTGCTGTCTGGCTTTCCGTCTTCTGTATTCCCCAGGTGACAGCAAGCAGAGACTTTTTAATTTTTGCAGGAAGCAACGTTGCGGTGATGGGAGCTTAAGTGGTTTATTAAGGAGGTGCAGGAAGACGTTTCCTTCTTTTTCACCCTCCCCTTTTGTGGCATAAACTTGGTTTGTTAGGGGGAGGCACCAAGGAACCCTTTAAAAATATATATTGTTGGAAACAAAAGTGTATATTTGGCACGGAACAAGGATGCTAATCTCTCGTTTCCTTTTCCTGTACCAGATTATGGCTGATGGGTGGGATCCATGTATGTGGATTATCATTATTTTTTAAAATCAATTGCTGAAACTTGTTTTGTACAAGGGCGAAATAAACCGGAATTATGTCAATCCTGCGTGCGATTCAAACTGGGTCGCTGGGGGAAAAGGGGGTGTCAATTTTGGGGGAGACCCAAATGAGGGATCCAAAAAAACCTCTTTTCTAATTAACGGGTGTTACCTTTTGGGGTGCTGCAGTTCACTTCCTGAGAAGCAATTCACAGACTCAAAGTCGCCCTGTGAGGGGGGAAAAAAATGAACTTGGCTGGCATAACTGAGCAAAGAACACATCGCAAAATTCACATACAGGCCGTTCTTGACATTTAGTGTGTTTGAAGCTATAACACCACTGAAGAAAGGGACCTTGGAGGTCTTCTAGTCCAACCCTCACTCAAGCAGGAGACCCTAATGCAACCAAGAGCCAACGTCGATTTCTTTTCCCTTTATTTTTAAGATGGCTAAAAGAGGAAAAACTACAGTGAGGTGGGTGAGAAACCAGTGGGACGGAATCAACTCCCAACTGTTGCAGATTTCAGTGCAATTAAATCATTAGCTAATTAACTAGTACAATTCCTCAGTGGATTTCACAGTGTAGGAGAAAACTGTGTGCTTCTTTCTTGCTCATCCTTGCTACTATACACTTATTTAATAGAATTTAAAGGTCACCCAGCTCCAGCTAAATTTGGGTGCCCTACATTAAAAAAAAAAAAGTGAAAACGTAATAATAAGCTCGAGGGAACAGCTGTTCTAAAAATCCAAGCTTGTTCTCAGAACTGTCCCTTATTTTGATTAAATAAGATCCGTTTCTTGAAACAGGATTTGAAGATAGAGCTGAAATCAGTCCAGCTCTTCATTTTGCTCCCCGGTACCTGAACATATTTTCAAGGAAAATCTCATCCCTTTCTTGATTCTCCCCTTCCTCAAAACTCAATCAAACAGATCTACTACCCTGATCCACATTGAACCAATTTCAGAATAGATCCTAGACCCTAGAAATCCACAGACCTGAATAAAGGAGGGAGGGAGAGGGGGAGAAAGAGAGAAAGGGAGGAGATAAAAAGTGATGAGAAAGAGGGGGAGAGAGAAAAAGAAAAAAGGAAGGAAGGAAGAAAAGGAAAGAAAAAGCAAACTAACGAAACAACCAACGAACGAACAAAGAAAAAGAAATGAACGAATGAAACAACAAACGAACAAAACCATGAACGAACATAACGAACAAACCCTCATCCAACAGAGACCCCCCCAAAAAATGATTTGTTAAACTAAAATCACCCCGATTTTTCAGGGTGAGACGCTGCCTATAATAAGACGGATTTCCAGGAAGGTGTTTGAATGCTGATGGGTGTTTTTCCGCTTTTGTGTGTGTGAGACAGGTGTCTGCTGGACAGCAAGTTTGCAAATTCGCGATTCCTCCGTCGACACGCTCCCCCAAAGTGCTTTTATCTTCTCTTTAATTTTTTTATCTTTATTTTTTTCTTTTGTTTTACCTCTTCTTATTTTTTATTTCATTTTATTATTGTATTTTTAATTGTCTAATTTTTATTTTTATCTCTATCTTTTGTTTATATTATCTTAATTTTATCTTTATTTCTTATGTATCTTTTCTTATTTTTATTTATTTTTATTATTTTACTTTTATTTATCTGATTTTATCTTCTCTTTAATTTTTTTTATCTTTTATTTTTTGTTTTATCTTTTCTTATTTTTTTATTTTGTTTTTTTTATTTCATTTCATTTTTATTTATCTAATTTTTATCTTATCTTTTTTTGTTTTATCGTTTCTTGTTTTTATTTATTTTTTATTTTTATTTGGATGATGCCTTCTCGCCACCCTGACAAATTTTAAACGCACACACACACACACACACACACACACACATACACACACACCGCCCAAAAAAGTCACCATAGTTTCTGAACCTCAGCCACTTTAAGACTTCAACTCCCAGAATCCCCCATGCTGGCTTTCAACAAGCCAAGCCAATGGGAAAAGCTGGATCCACTTAACGACTATATGATTCACTTAATGACTGTGGGGGCGGAAAAGACAGTAAAATCTAGTCTTACTCACTTAACAAGCTCCTCATTTAGAAGTTCCATTCCCCATGGTCATAAGTCATAAGTCCATGGACTGCCTGAATTGCATTTGAAGTGCTTATTGATACTGACATGTCAAGTATTCGCACTGATTTATAAAGCCTTTTTAAGGCCATATCTGGAATACTGCATCCAGTTTGGATCACCACATTACAAAGAAGATCCTGAGACTTTGCGGAGGAAAAGTGCAAAGAAGAGCAACTAAGATGATCAAAGGCCTGGAGACTAAAACATATGAAAAACGATTGCAGGATTTGGGTTGGGCTAGTCTAGAGAGAAGAAGGGTTAGGGAGGACACAATAGCGGCATTCCAGTATTTGAGGGGCTGCCCCAAAGAAGAGGGGGTCAATTTATTTTCCAAAGCACCACAAGGCAGGACAAGAAGCAATGGATGAAAATTAATCCAGGAGAGAAGCAACCTAGAACTAAGGAGGAATGATGTGATAGAACAATTAACCAATGGAATAGCTTGCCTTCAAAAATGCTTCATCACTGGATGTTTTTAGGAAGAAACTGGACAGCCGCTTGTCTGAACTGGTCTAGGCCAGGGTCTCCTGCTTCAGTAGTGGGGTTGGACTAGAAGACCTCCAAGGTCTCCCCTTCCAGCTGTATTCTGATTCTGGGCTGATTCAGTCTCTTCCCTCCCTTAAATTGCCACAACCGAGTACTGATTCCACTAAGACTTCGTGTTATTGCTCGGACTTGGATTAGCTGTTACACCCTTCCAACACCTTGGGCTTTTGGGGGGCGTTGTGGGTTGTGTGTTTGTGTAAAGCTGTGGTTGATCTTGGCATGACGTGCCCAGTGGCCCCATTCTCTCTGAGCACGATCAGTGATCAAGACCGTCTCTGCACGCAGCCTTGGAGTTATCTTCCCCTCCGTTTGGTGTCCGTAGCCTTTGGCCCAAAAGCATCCCAAGTTGTTTGTTTTTACAGCCGCCTCTCCGCCGTAGGAAAACCTCATTCTGCCCTTGGTTAGGCGGTATTTAGTTTTTCGGGCATTGCAATCTCTCCGTTGCTGGGCTGTGTTTTGCAGCTGGCTGGCAAAATGCCCCAGATCAGAGGGCTGCTTGGAAGATAAAAAAAAAACGCTGTTGAGATTTGGGCTGGTCGGTCGGTCTGTTTCTGCACGGATCTCTAGCGCCAAGCGCAATCAAGGCTTTGGTTTTCCGCCAAGGACTCAAGGACAAAACTCAGCGTTTGCGGAAAGCAATCCCAGGCATAAATTTCCCAGGGTTTTCCACCCACTGACTGGGAAAATTTAAGGCTTGTAGTCCAATCTGCCCCATGGGCTTTGTGGCGTGTCTCAGGAAAAGTTCCTGGTTAGTTGTTTAAAATTTGAACCCTGGCAGCTGTACTGTGTTCTTTTCTCTCTTTTTTTTTCTTATTATTATTACCGGTCTGAGACGTTTCTCCTGCTCATCCAAGTAGCTTCTTCATTAGTCAGAGAAAGTGAAAGAAAGAAAGTTAAAGTTAAGTTAGGCAGAATTTAGGTGGTTTTTTTTCCCCTCCCAAAAGGCAGCTGGGCTTTGTTTTGCTTGAAGATGTTTTGCTTCCTATCCAAGAAGCTTCTTCTGTTCTGACTGAATGGTGGAGGATGGAAGGATTCATATTCCTTGCGGTCATCTGGTTGTTAGTACTCTTTCTAAGAGTCATTGAGGCCACTTGGAGGTTTACCTGCATCCTCAGGGTCACCTGAATAGTGATAGACGGTGTCATATCCCTCCCTGTCTTTTGAGAGAGAGAAGGCTGTTCGATTTTGACCTATAGATGACCTCAATGAACCCTTCTTTCAAACCAGCGGTCCTCTCTGTCCAAAATGTGGACTTTGTTGTCTTCCACTGAGTGGCCTTTTGTCTTTCAAAGGCAGAATCTTGTCCCCATGGCTTTCGTCTCCTATGTTGCGCCATGTGTTTGGGAAGTGGTTGTCTTGTCTCTCCAGTGCACAGATCTATACATGTCTCACTGCCCCGTACAGTCTCCAAGGGAAAACAAGGCAGTCCAGCTGCCTTTTGAAAAAGCACCTTAGGGACAACCATGACCTGGATGGCTAAGCATCTCCATAGACATTGAGCCAAGCAGCTTGTTCTTCGGTAGATTCTTGGACTATTGCTACAATCCTCCTTTTTTTTTGGCCAGGGCTGGCTGGGGATAATGGGAGCTGAAATCCATAACTGTGAAGCCAGCCACAATTGGGAGGGCTACAGTAGCTGAGATGTTGTGTTGACTGGATGTGGGCGATTGGAAAGCAGAGCGAGTTAATCATAGAAGGAGAAGAGTTACTACGGATCCAAAAGCAATAAGTAACTCATCCTGGTTTAACCTCCTACTTGAGGTTATTAATAACGGTTAGGGATTAGGGGAAAGGATGTGCCGGCCTTCAGGGAGGTGCATCCCAAGGAAACTCCATTTTATTTTATCTTTTGTAGAAAAGCAACTGTCCTGCAGATGAAGATCAGAAAGGTACAACTGAAGTCCTACCAGATCAATCCCGGAGGCTCTTTTCCTGTTTCCAAGGGTGGTTAACCAGGAAAACTCACAAGCAAGAAACAGATTCACACCTTCTTCTATCTAATATTCAAACAAGGGTTTCTTTCAATAGCATGGCTAAATGTTGGCAGCTTCTCTCCTCTTGCATAGCTTTTAATAAACCACCTTTCCTCGAAGATAGTTTAGATCAGTGTTTCTCATAAACTCAGCAATTTTGAAATGTGTGAATTTCAACTCCCAGAATTCCCCAGAGAGCAAATATGAGAATATGAGAAAGATCTCAGTTTGTCTGTGGCTTACC